TTCGCGTCGTAACCGTGGTGATGTCATCACCGCTTAGACGGCTAAATTGATCACGAATGTCAACGAAATGTCGCGCGACGGCGAATCACCCGAAATCACGCCGCGTAGTAGCTGCCGAGGTGTGACGTCATGTGCGTCGGATGATGAGTCATCGAGTGACCGGAGTAGATGTTGGCGCCCGGATTCGACCAGTACGACGTCGGCGATCCGAACAGGCTCGGCGACGACGTCGGGATGCCGGCGTGCGGACTCACGAAGTTTAGCGTCGGCGCCGAGTGGTGATAGCCGGACATGAATAGATCCGACTGGTACTTATAGGCGGTCGGGTCCGCCGCCGGCTGGCTCGCTTGCGCCAGGCCGGCAAAGTCAAACTTGTAGGCGTAGCGCTTGCCGTGCACTTTCGTCATGATGTTCTTGTCGTAGTAATAGCGCAGCGCGCGACTCAGCTTGTCGTAGTTCATGTTTGGTTTCGACTTGCGCTCCCCCCAGCGGCGCGCTACCTCGTCCGGGTTGACGTCACCACGGTGATGTCGTCACGGCGCTGATGACGTCACGTGCGGACGCTCATGAGGGCTGAGTGGCCGAACATCGGGGTCGCGAATATGCGCGCATTGGACAGGCATTCAAGCAACACAACACGCACAGCTAGCGAGGAGGTGGATGATGGCGGTGGTGTTGATGATAGAGAGAAGGAGACGGAGGAGGAAGAGAACGGGGAAGAAGAGGAAGAGGAAGAGAAATGTGAATCCTCCTCCTTCTCCTCCTCCTCTTCCTCCTCCTCATCCTCTTCCCTTTCCCTTCTTTCCCTCCTGTTCTTCTTTCATCTCCCATCATCTTCTTTTTTCTTTCTCCCCTTAACCTGGGCCTATGTCTAGTTATGCACTATCGCTATGTGAGTCGGTTTCATACTGCCCTCATTTGTACTCATTGCACATAGTTCTCCCCAACACACACACACATACACACTTACACTATAACGATTATGAAGGCCGCTCAAATTCATTGATTACATTGTTCTGCGTGTTGTATCGATCGGGTCCTATCCAACCGATCCGGAATTTGGGTTCGATTAGAAAGAATCCAATTATCAATGGTGCGATGACAACCGGAAGCAGCCGGGTACGGTGTATGCGCATGCTCACTCCGATACCTCTAATCTGACCCGCTCCGACTGTTTTCTTTTTTTCTAGACGCCTGTTAAGACCAAGGCTTCGTTTACATCGGAACATAAGGATAACTTTATACATGATACCTAGCGCCTGTGCACGACGTGGCTACGTACGTGCGCGTCAACGCTAGTGTTAGTGTACACCATCGTCGACTATTTATAGTATTCACATTGCGATTAACCGCTTCTGCTAATTGTTTCTAACGCGCATCTTCGAGCGAGAAACCTGTCCCCTGTATACCGCCTCATACTGCGGCTTCTGTTCCTCTTCTTCCTTCTCCTCTTCCGTCTAACAAAACCAAAGATTTTGAGTTTAAATTTAAATTGCCGTTATTAATATATAGACATAAAATATATCGTGTTATTGTACCGTTTATTTGCTGTATGTAATTGATGTTGTTTTATTTTAACCGTGTGTATTCTCTCTTAATTCTGTATGCAATTTTTCGATCGAAATAGTCATTATAAAACAAACAAAAAGCGTTATTTTCATTTAGATTCGAAAACGTGCGCACTACTGCTGTCTCTAAGAATCGTTCACCGTTGTTCAACGATTCTGGAATTGCTGGTCAGCCCATTACGTGTACGGTTAGTATAGCGTTGCTAT